TACACTTGCAATCTCTGCTGAAAGAAACTAAGTGGGCTGTTGTTATGTTGTAGTGCAGTGCTGAAGCGAAGCTCTCCTGAGATCCAAGGATCCTGCAGGCTTCCACACTAAGATACCCAAGATTCTTCAAAGGACTGAGACTTGCCCAGGCTGTCTCCAGCCTACCAAGTCCTGTCTCTGGAATGGCACTAAAATTTGCAGACCCAAGATTCTTCAAAGGACTGAGGCTTGCCCAGGCTCTGTCTCCAGCCTACCAAGTCCTGTCTCTGGAATGGCACTAAAATTTGCATTTTTAAACCACTTAATATAGCCGATGTTGTGCTTGCTATATCTGAAACCATCTGTTATTGTTTGAATGTGACATGTCCCATAGGCTCGTGTGTCTGCACACTTGATCCCCAGCTGGTGACAGTGTTTTTGAAGACTGTGGAAAATGTAGGATGAACCAAACCAAATGGAAGTAGGGATAGACACTGCTTGAGGTTTTGCGGTGGGCATGCTCGCTCTCTAGCACGCTCTCTCCTTCCCTCCCTCATCCTTCTATCCCTCCCACATCCCTCCATCTATCTCTCCCCCTCCTCTCTATCTTCCTCCTCCCTACTTCCCTCCCCCTCTTCCCTCCCTCCTGACTGTAAAAGCCATGGACATGACCAGCTGCCTCAGATTCTGGCGACCATGCTTTCCCACCATGATAAACTCTCTCCTTTCTTAAAATGTGATGGATAAAGAAAAAAAAAAAAAACAAAAACCTTTGTTCCTTAATTTGATTTTGTCAGGTATCTTGTCATTAAACGAGAAAATATTACATCATCCACCAGGTTCCTTGTCCCAAATACACTCACTTCTGAACCCCTTAGCCCCCACTCACTGTGGTGGTTTGAATAGGAATGGCCCCTAGACTCATGTGTTTGAATGTTTGGCCATAGGGAGTGGCACTGTTAGGAGTTGTGACCTTGTTGGAGGAAGTGTGTTGCTGTGGGTGCAGGCTTTGAGATCTCATATGTGCTCAAGCCACACCCGGTGTAGGACACAGTTTCTTTCTGATTCCTTCGGATCAAGAGATGCAGAAAAGGCCCTTGGTAAAATTCATCACATTTTCATGATAAAAAACCTTGAAGAAACATATCGCAACTTAAAAGACTATATATGACAAGCCTATACCCCAATAAAAATATTTCTTATAAAATTGAGACTAGGTGTCATAATCGCTGGTCCATTGCTATGAAGAAACACCATGACAAAGGCAACTCTTCTAAAAGAAAGCATTTAGTCGGGGCTTGCTGGCAGTTTCATAGGGTTAGTCCATTATTAATCATGGTAGGGAGCATGGTGGCATGCAGGCAGGTGTGGTACTGGAGAAGTAGCTGAGAGCTTTACATCCTGATCCACAGGCAGAAGGTACAGAGAGAGACACTGAGCCTGGCATGAGCTCTTTAAAACCTCAAGGCCCAACTCCAGTAAAACATCCCCTCCAACAAGGACATACCTCCTCCAACAAGGACACACCCCTCCAACAAGGACACACCTCCTGCTCCTTCCAAACAGTTCATCAACTGGGGTCTAAGCAAGTAAATATATAAGCCCGTGGGGCCACCCTCATTCAAACCACTGTAACAAGTGCATCCACTCTCTTCATCTTTATGTAACATGGTGTTAGAAGTCCTAGCTAGGGCATTAAAACAAGAAAAAGAAATAAAAGGGAAACAAGTGGAAAAGAATAAAGTCAAAGTATCCCTATTTGTAGATGAAATGACTCTACACTTAAAAGACCCTAAAATCTTCAGCAGAAAACATTTAGATCCAATAAACATTTTAAGCAAAGTAACTGGATACAAAGTCAACATACAGAAGTCAATTGCTTTCCTGTTGCAAAAACAAACAAAAACCCCTCAAATTTGCAGAAAGAAATCAGTAAAATAAAAAGAAATCAGTAAAAAAAAAAGAAATCAGTAAAAATCAAAATCAGTAAAATAAACACTACATAAAATACTTAGGGCCAGGCAGTAGTGGCACTACACAAACACACACACACATCAAACACACACACACACACACACACACACACACACAACATGTAGACCAATAGAACAGAACATAGGATCTAGAAATAAATGACCATAGCCACAACCCCTTAATCTTTGACAAAGATGTAAAATTTGCATTAGAAGAAAGAACCTCTTCAACAAATGGTGCCAGGAGATACACAAAATAATGAAACTAGGACCCACTAGAATAAAAAATAAACTCAAAATGAAACAGAGATCTTAACATAAGGCCTGAGTCTTTGAAAGTGGCATGAAATATGGGAAACACTAAAGACTCAGACATAGATAAGGACTTTCTGAAAAGAATTCCAATAGTACAGGAAATAATAGCAAGAATTGATGAATGGGAGCTGGGCGTTGGTGGTGCACGCCTTTAATCCCAGCACTCAGGAGGCAGAGGCAGGCGGATCTCTGTGAGTTCGAGGCCAACCTGGTCTTTAGAGCAAGTGCCAGGATAGCTCCAAAGCTACACAGAGAAACCCTGTTTCAAAAAACCAAAAAAAAAAAAAATTTGACCAATGGGACCTCTTACAATAAATAAAGCTCCCTCGTGGGGCATGTAAGAGTTTTGTCCAAGCCCAAGGCCCTAAGCTCAGTCGTCAGAACCCACATAAAAGTAGAAAGAGAGAACCGACTCCACAGGGTTGTTCTCTGTCCATAGCACATCACACACACACATGCCCACTCACTCACACACACACACTCACAGTAATAACAAGAAATTAAGATTCACAGCCTATAGAGCAGGAGAAAAAAAAAACTCTGCTGATGTTAATATCCGGGGTATATAAAGAAATCAAAATGTAAACACTACTAATAAACTAATCAATAAATGGGCTGCTCCAAAGCAGAACAGACCATTCTGGAAGGACTAAAATCCAGTGGCCAGTAAATAATTGAAACTCTGTTCAATATCCTCCGTCATTGGGGAAATACAAATTAAAACTGCTTTGAAGTCAGGTGTGGTGACCCACACCTTTAAAACCAAACAAACAAAACTGCTTTGAACTACCTGCTCACTCTCAGCAGAATGTCTATCACTGAGAAAAAAAATAAAGACAAATGCTGGCAAGGATTTAGAGAAAGGAGAAACCCTTGTTTTATCTGGTGGATATGTAAACTGGAGAGCCCACTGTGGAAACCACTATGGAGGTTTCCTAAAACTAGAATATGGTCAGCTACACCACTCCTGTGTCCATTCCCAAAGGACCCTAAGTCCCCAGGCCACAGAATGCTTGCACATCCATCAATGTGCTATTCATGATAGCTAAGACACAGCTAACACACACAGTCAGCTGTCCATCAACAGATAGGTGGATAGAGAAAATGCAGTCATACACAATGGAATTGTATGAAGGTTTAACAGATGAAGCTGTCATATTTGCAGAAATATGAATTCAACTGGAACAAAATAAGCCAACTCAAAAAGACAAATAGCATGTGTTTTCTCTGATACACAGGTTTACAGGGTGTGTGTGTGTGTGTGTGTGTGTGTGTGTGTGTGTGTGTAGATGGATTTTTCTTTGTGCAGCCAGCTCACAATTAACGACATGGAGACATTATTAATTATGAAAGTTCAGCCGATAGCTTAGGCTTGTTCCTACCTAGCTCTTATAACTCAGATTAACCTATTTCTATTCATTTACTTTCTGCCTTATGGCTTTACTACCTCATTCTCCACAGTGCCCATCCTGCTTGCTCTGCATCTTCTGGAATCCCCACTTTCTTCTTCTTCCCAGTGTCCTCTCTGCCCCCCAAATCCTGACTAGCTATTGGCTGTTCAGCTTTTTATTAAAGCAACCAGCATGGCACATCTTCACAGTGTACAAAAAGATTATTCCACAAGGTGTGTGTGAGGGAGAAACATGAAAATAGATCTGAGCTTATGAGAGGGAGGAAGATCGAAAGGAAGGGCAAACAGGAAGCAAGAAGGGACGATGGGACATATGTAACATGAAATCAGAAGGGAGACTTTTTCAGGAGGAAGGAAGTTAGAAAGAAGAACAAAGAAATGGCCGTGGATGGAAGTGTGTGATTAAAAAGAAAGTAGGACCATATATGTATATGTATATATGCAAATACCACAAGGAAACCATTTCTATGTGTGCCAACTGTGATAACTAGTCTTGGTTGCCAACTTGAGTGCATCTAGAATTAACCAAGACACTGGGCATCCTGTGAGGCTTTTCTTGATTGGATCATTTGAGGTGGGCAGACCCACCCTAAATCTGGGCCACGCCTTCTGGTGGCAAGGACAGGGAAGAAGGAAGTTTTTGCCTTTTGCCTGTGTGCCCTCACTCTTGCTGGTAAACTCATCTATCCCATTGCTGTGGCACCCCTTTGCTGGTGTTAGGATCAACTTGTTTGGGAGTCCAGTGTAGACTGAAGACCAGCAGCTGTCCAGGCATCCTCCAGGCCTTCAGCACCAGATTGGGACTGCAGAGATGTCTGGCCTTTAGACTGATGACTACAGATTCTAATGTGAGACAGCCACTTGGACAGAATCCTATAAGCCCATCTAATAAATCTCATACATACATCTATATGTGTATATATGTATTTGTATATACATATATATTTTTTTCTATCAATGCTGCCCATTTACAAGAACTCTGACTAGCGAGTGACTCATGAATCCATCCGTTCATTTGTCCATTTGTTTAGCCAGCCTTTGGTGGCACTAATGATGAGCCTGACGTTATCTTCGACTCTTACAGCACGTTCTAAACTGCATGCCATAGCAAATGTTGGGCATGACAGTAGTGATGTAAGATGCCAACCTAATGCAAATACGGGGCAGGGGAAGATACTTAGTTAATTAAAGACATCAGTGTCCATAATATGGATATTGTGATTTTAATTATCATCATGTAGGTTGAAGAAACACTCGTAGTTACTATGGAAATGTCGCCCCCAAACTGAGCCACCAGTCAAAATTTTGTCAATGCCCTTTATTTTAGGAAAACACACGTCTGGTCACAAGACACCTTCAGAGAGCACAACAAGCCAGGAGAAGGGCAGGATGGAGCTAGACAATAATTCCCGGGCCACTGCCATGTTCAAGGGGCGGAGCTGACACAAAATTATTTTCTTCCCGGAAAAGCAAGGTTAACTGATGCTGTGGAGCCCAGAGGGCCACTAGATTTACAACATCTACAGCTGAGGAGGAGCAGAGACCTTCAGAGGGTTGAATTATAATGCCTCTCTATTGATCGGTGATCGGCCCACTCTGTATCCAGCCATCAGGGGATGAGAAGCAGAGGGGAAATTGTGGTGGTTACAGTTCTTATGTAGTTCTCAAAGTCGCTCCCGAAGAAGAAGATGAGGTAATGGTTGAGTACCCCAGCAAGGGACATGAGAAACAGAAATGAGATGATCCGCTTGCCGAATATGTAGCCGGGAGTACTGCAGAAGAAGGGAAAAGAGTGATAGACACATCATAAATGGCACCCATTTCACCCCAAAACACTGCCGCTTCCAGACACACAGGTTTAAATTATAACTCATTTTTACTCAGTAATGCCTTTCTTCATAGCGATGGTGGACATGCCTTTGCTATTAACCATTGAGCATGTTTCAAAGCCAGGCAAAGGAGACTGCCTACGGAGCCTATCACCGTTAGGGCTCGGTGGCCCAGCATCCCTGAGTTCTAGTGTCCTTAACTCCAGATCCTTGGTGACAGGATGCTGGCAGGTCCTGACAGTGGTCAGACAATCTGATTGAGGCTTGGGAGCACCATGAACTCATCAAGCAACTCTGCAGGGTGGTCCCTGTCAGGTGGGCCTATAAGGCCCATGCTAGAGGCTGGGTATATTGAAGATTGTGTTAGAGGAGATGGTTTAAATAAGTTAGTGGAGGTGCTTAAACCTACCCTCCTGAGGCTGCCTGGGAAGAAATGAGGTTTGCACGAAAGAGAGGTAAGCATCCAGTGATGGAAAAAGCTTTTACATTCCGGAGGAAAGAAACATTTTCCTCCTCCCTCCTCTCCTCCTCCCCCTCCCCTCCCCTCTTGCCCCATACTCTCCTCGCCTCTCTTCTTCTTCCTCAATGTCTTTGCCAGAGAATAAGCTGGGGATTGGAGGCAATTCCTCATGAGGAAGTGACTGTGTAATGGCGTGCAAAGGTCACCCGTGTCCTCTGTCCCTCTACAAGAACCTGGCTTGCTGGGCCTGGACCCATCTGAATGGAGCTGGCATGTCTGGAAAGGCCAGTGAAACCGTTTGTTAAGATTGTCAGTGAAGAACCAGCCCAGGGCATGGGACATTCAGATCTAATGACAGAGCAGGGCCAACTCAGCGGGACCAGTGCACTCCTGCTGCTGCAGGCTGTTTCAAGCAGAGGAGCCAAAGCCAGCATCTGACGTTCCAGCATCTGGCTTATTTTATTTCATTGAAAGGAACCCTAAGACTTTCGACTCCCACAGCAAGTGTTGCTCAGCAATTGGGTACCAACCTCCTCCCTACTCTGTCACCCTGGGACTAAGAACATCAGCATCTGCTGGGACTTTTGGGGAGCTGAAACTCCTGAGTCCTTCTCAAATCAGGATGCAGACCCTGCATTCCAACAAGCTCCCTGTGTGACCCACAGACATCAGAAGTTTTGAAGCCCAACTAGCTGGCTCTTACTGCCTGGGTAAAAAAATGTCGCTAAACGCCCAAATGTCAAAGGGTCTCCAGTTGGTGGCACTATTAACAAATAATTGGATGCCGAGGGCACCAACCTCATCAGTTCACAGCTGGATGGGCTTTTGAAAAGTGGGGTGCAATCAGAGGATGTAGGTCACTAGATCCCTCTCTGTTAAAATTCTTGAGCGTTGATTGACTGATGATGTCTGTGCCCATGCCATACCTATGCTGTCAAGACAACTTGAAGGAGTCCATTCTCCCCATCGTGTGAATTTCAGGGATGGAATCAGGTAGTCAGTGGTTGGGAGTGACATCACTAAAGGAAGGAAAATGCTGAGGAGGGCTAGGTGTGGCTCATCTGTAGACCGTGCGATGGACTGATCTGTGGACTTACTATTACTACAACCTGTATTCTCAATGCTCCTGAGGGTTCCCAGACTTGTTACTCAAGAGAGGCTGTGGTAAGGTACAAACTTTAGGTCTCTTGACAAATGATGAGATGTTTAATTCACACAAGAGGCCTGGGAAGTCAGACCGAAAATGTCATTGCTGCCCCAGATTCCGCCATGAAGAACAGCTGGTGTGCAGTTGCAAGCAATGTACAGCCCAGCATGCTAAAACACCCCTGTGAGGCAAGGCTGTGCAAAGGAAACTTTAATGGGAAAACTAGGCAACTCCTTAGCTGCATTTTCAGAGCCCTTAAAGGTCAGGGAGGTGGAGCGGGGGTCCTAGTCTGGCCTCCCTTCATCCAAGGAGAACCTGTTCAGCTCTCAGTGGCGGTCAGAGTGTCCTTCAACAGTAGCACCCTCCTACTGGGAAAGCATACATGAAATCAAGTTCTTCAGCACCCCAAGACCTACCTCTGAGTTCTCTCTCCCAGATAGCCGACAAAGTACTTTTGCCTCACAAGCAAATACATCAGTCCCGCGAAGGCGGCAGGAACTAAGTAGAGAAATGACAACACGCATCAGTTTCAGTCTCCCAAACTGTCATTCATACAACAGTTTCAGTGATTAAGTAACTAGTGTTTGATCACAAAACTCATCAGAGACCCTGGGTTCTGAAAGTGGAGGCTAGCACACCATCTCTGTGTGGGTTTCTGTTGCCTGCGCCAAAACATTGTAACCAAAAGCAACTTGGAGAAGACAGAGTTTGTTTCAGCTTACAGTTCCACATCACAGTGTATCATTGAAGGAAGTTGGGGCAGAAACTCAAGGCAGAAACCTGGAGGCAGGAACTGATGCAGAGGCCACAGAGGACCAATACTTACTGGCTTGCTCCTCATGGCTTGCTCATCTACTTCCTTATACACCCCAGGACCACCTGCCTGGGTGTTGGCAGCACCCTTGTGGGATGGGCCCTCCTACATCAATCGTTAACCAAGATACTACTCCACAGGTTTGCCTACAGACCAATTTTATGGAGGCATTTTTTCAGCTAAGTTCCCTCTTCCCAGATATATGTAGGTTTGTGTCAAGTTGACAAAAGACAAGCAGCATACATACACTTCAAATAAAAGCCAAAGGGCTGCGTGGAGGTCAAGTACCGGCTCTAAGGCGTGCTACACAAAGTTCTTGCTTAGGAGTCATGTGATGTGAATCTTTTAACATGTCTATCCCTAGATAAGGGAATTTGGACTCAGGCAGCCAGAGGGGCTTCTGTAAGGCCATTGGCTGGGAAGGAAGGCAGGGAAGGGTTCACAGCAGGAACCAAAGCCCCAGTTCTGAAACTGGTCCCTGGAGACATACCCTGTGGCCCTGGGGTTTCTGGCACACAAAGCAGGTTTTTCTGGCCTCTAGGGAAGATTTCTTTCCATTCCAGCATCTGGGGAAACGGCTGCAGACAACACTCTGGTCACCCCCATAAAATCCTAAATTTAGAGTTGGAAGCTGAAAACACCAGTTCCCTAAGAGAATGACCTAGAACAGGTGCTTAACTGGTCGTACGTGTGGACAAAGGCTGGTCATAGTTCTCCTACTGTGTGTGGACAAAGGCTGGTCATAGTTCTCCTACTGTGTGTGGACAAAGGCTGGTCATAGTTCTCCTACTGTGTGTGGACAAAGGCTGGCCACAGGTCTCCTCTTGTGTGTGGACAAAGGCTGGCACAGCTCTCCTACTGTGTGTGGACAAAGGCTGGCCACAGCTTTCCTACTGTGTGTGGACTAAGGCTGGCCACAGCTCTCCTACTATGTAAGGATAAAGACTGGCTACAACTGGTTTCTATCTTTTAAGAAAGAGTGTGGGAGTAAATAGGGCTATGTGAGGAAAAACACTATGAAAGCCCCTCCCCCACCTCACAGCATCATTCAACACCAAAACAGCTTCCATTAGCGAGAACCTCCCACTTGCCGGGCACCTCAGGCTCCAAAGCCGCCTGCTGGTTGGGAGAGCTTTCCAGTCTCTGTTTTACAGACAGAAGAAATCTAAGCAAAGACCAAAAGTCCATGAGGATGCTTGTCTTTTCCTGGATCACCTCTGTACTTGGTGGAGTGCCTGGAACATATAGGCTTTCAATAATATTTGTCAAATGAATTATTTATTAAAGTCCAGCAAGTATCATGCAGGCAGCTCTGATTTCCAGGTCTTTCTGATTTCAAAACGGTTAAACTGCCACCACCCGCAGTGGTAACATCTATGGAGTTCCCATTGTTAATCTGAACCATACAGAGGAAGCATTTTTAGAGTTTTTAATATTTATTTTTATTTTACTTGAATGAGTGTTTTGCCTTCATCTATGTATATGCATTCTGTACACGCAGTGCCCACAGAGGCCAGAAGAGGGAGACAGATGCCCTGAAACTGAGGTTACAGGTGGTTGTGATCTGCCCTATAGATGCTGGAATTTGAACCTGGTTCCTCTGCAAGAGCAACCAATGAGTGCTCTTAACCACTGAGCCATCTCTCCAGCCCCACAAAAAATTTAGAATTGCCTTGGAGGTGAGCCTCTGAGCATGCTTGTGGTCAGTCGTTTTGATGGTGTTGGTTGGTTTGGGAGGATCCATCTTAACTTTGTGCAGAACCATTCCCTATGCAAGGTCCCCGGACTGGATATAAGTGGAGGAAGCACACTGAGCACTCATATTTATTCACTCATCACTGCTCTCTGCTCTTGACTACCGATGCTATACAACCAGCTCCCGGGAGCTCTGGGGCTTCTCTGCTATAATGGAGCATCGCTTAGACCTGTGTGCTGCAATAAACCTTTTCTCAACAGAAAAAAAACAAAAACAAAAACCAATACTTCTTGTGTAAGCCATAAACAATGAAGTTCTCAATAGATAGAAGGCTCAACTGTTACGTATCAAGAAGCACAGACTGAGAAAAGCCCTCCACCCCCATCTCCCCCCCAAAAAAAGACACACTTTGGAATGGTGGCTCACACCTGTAATCCAACCACTTGGGAGATTGAGAGGGAGTTCAAGGTCAGCCTAGGAAACATATCAAGAACCTAGAAAGAGTCCGGGCAGTGGTGGCACATGCCTTTATCCCAGAACTCCAGAGGCATTGGCTGGTGGATCTCTGTGAGTTCTAGGCCAGCCTGGTCTACAGAGAGAGTTCCAGAACAGCCAAGGTTACACAAAGAAACCCCATCTCATAGGGGGGTGAGAACACAGAAAGAGGGGCTGGAGAGATGGGTCAATGGTTAAGAGCACTTGCTGCCCTTCCAAAAGACCAGGGTTTGATTGCCAGCACACAAGCTAGCTGCTCCCATCCATCTATAACTCCAGTTCTAGGGGATCTGATGCCCTCTTCTGACCTCCAGGAGCAACTGCATTCACGAACACAAACCCATACACAGACACAGAATTTAAAATAAAATTAACCATTTTTAAAACAACCTAGAAATAAAGAAGGGGAAGAAAAAATAAACTTTGAGACTTGTCCTAATTCCTAAAAGCCACAAGACTGTCACCATTAATTATGTCACAATTAATGATTTGCTTTGCATAAAGTTTTCCCATCTGGACAGCTCTGTTCTGATTTTCCTTGGCCTGTTTCTCTTTCAGTTGGAGTTCAACTGGACATAAACTAATAGGCAACAGGTGTGGAAAGGGTTCATAGCTCCTGCCTTATGCAGGGAATAGCAGAGACTTTCCAAGGGGAACTAGAGTCATGTGAACTGCAAAGCAGGTACCAATCTAAGCTCTAAAATTATGAAATTAAATAAGCCACTTGTCCTTCTGGATCTTGGGACAGTCTTCAAAGGGAGGGGTCTGAAACAGAACAGTCTCTGGGGTTCCTTTCAGCTGAACAACATATATAATCTCTGTATTCATTAAAAAAAAAATGGCAATGGGGCTGGAGAGATGGCTCAGAGGTTAAGAGCACTGACTGCTCTTCCAAAGGTTCTGAGTTCAATTCCCAGCAACCACATGGTGGCTCACAACCACCCTGAATGAGATCTGGTGCCCTCTTCTGGTGTGCAGATATACATGGAAGCAGAATGTTATATACATAATAAATAAATAAATAAATAAATAAATAAATAAATAAAATCTTAAAAAAAAATAAAAAGGCAATGACCACTATAGCTGACTGATGTGTTTGAGCCCTGGCAATGTGGATGTCTTTCTTGACAGAGATGCTATTTCCAGGGCTCTGAAATACTTCTGGACTGCCTTTGTATTCACCTAACTGGAGAGGCAACAGCAGATTTATCTAGTATCAATCAGACCCAACAAGACTTATCAGTCCTCATATGGGTTTTCTTTGACCTGATTTTTCAAATGATGCCAGATACATTTTTATAATCTCACTCAAGGTAAAAAATGGAAAATAAATGGTGAGTTACAGAGAGTCTTCAAGGCGCTAAGAGAGACCGTGTGGCATCTCTTCAGTCGTTTCTACTGCTCTTAGGAGTGAGTCTCACTCTTGGCAAAAGCATATCCATCTACCTACTTATTAATTTTTTAAAAGGATTCATTTTTATTGTTTCGATATATGTATATGTGTGTGTGTGAGAGAGAGAGCATGTGTATGCAGTACCCCTGGAGGTCAGAAGAGGGCATCAGATCCCTTAGAACTAGAGTCACAGGCAGTTGTGAGCTGCCTAGAGGAGGTGCTGGGAACAGAACTCTGGTCCTCTGCAAGAGCAGCAAATGCTCTTAATCACTAAGCCACCTCTCCAGCCCCCATTTACCTACTTTCTAACTGTCCTTTTGTGTATTATTGATCCTCCTACATTCAGGACAAAGTTGACATACAATAAATGTTCAAGGTGAATTTACAACATGAATTGAGACAGTAAAAGAATGCTTAGAGAAAATCCAGAAGTTAGAACTAAAAGACCCAAGCTCTAATCCTGCCCATGAGGCTCACCACCAGTTGAATTACCCTGAACTTTGTTCCCTGAACCAAGTGTCCTCAAGGGTCACAGGGAAACTAATATCCACAGGTCAGACTCTATAGAGCAGTAAAAAATGATAATAATCCAACCGTTTGTCAAATGGTTGCTTCTGGCCTTTCTGTATGGGTCCTGCTGAAGCAGCCCCAGCCACACTGAGCCACCACCAAACAAATGCCAGTCTCAGTCGCAGCTTTCTGATGTTCAGTCTTCAAAAAGAGCCAAGAGCATATGATTCCGGTTTCCGTTTAATTGCAAAGCACCTCTGGGAATCAATCTGTTCTTCAGATTCATTGAAACCAAGACTGTGTGCAGCTGATCACCCAGGTTCAACGGGAACCCAGCCCATGCTCTGTACATGCATGCCCGAGGAAGGGCCAGCGTGCTGGGAGCTTATTAACAGAAGACTGCCAGCAGCAGCAGTCCCAAAATAGATCCCTCTGGCGCTCTCATTTACAATGCCCTTGTATCTGAGCTAACACTGCTTACGCATTCTGAGTCACATTTAGCCTTAAACCACCCTTGTCAGCGCAGCGCTCTCAACCAGCCACCAGGGAGCAAGCATTAGCAATGCATTACCACACCACACTGCGCCCGCACTGAGCATGCCTGGAACACAACCTCCCCAGGGCTCTCATCTCTCCAGGGCATCCTGGATAAGAGCTGTAGGTCCAGTCGAGGCTATTCAACAAAATGCCTGCTCTTTGAACCCTGAGAGCTGCACATTATAGAAAGGGAACTCACAAAGGGAAATCACGGTTACCTTGGCTGCAAAGTAGTCCCGCAGTCCAGAGTACCACAAGGAAAGTGGGGTATGCATCTACGCAGTTCTGGCTGTAGGGCAAACAGGGCAGAAAGAAATCAGAAAACACGTGACTTCAATTTGGCCTGAAAATTACCTGAAGACCCTAGTTCATAATCACCATTATGCAAGGGTCACAAGCCCCTCTCTTGTCTCACATCTACCCTGAGAGTGCAGCCAGCTGGCACCACATCCAACAGAGAGTGGTAGCAAGCAAGCACACTCAGAACTCATTAACTCTGCTTAGGTGAAGCAGATCAGAGGCTGTGCTTCTTTGGCAGGGCTCCCGTGGTGGGTGGTGCCCATGCACTTCTTGGAATAACAAGTGAGCAAAGCAGACAGCAAGGTGTGGTTGCTGTCTGAATGGGAGCAGCAGAGTGAAAATGCCCAGCTAAGGGAAACTGTATCCTATAGAAAGTGGTGGGCCAGGTGGAAAAACAGTTCCTCAAAGTCCTAAAGAAACCAAGGTCGGTTCACAAAAGCTGATCGGAGAAGGTTTCTAATGGTCCAGGGAAGGCTGCCCCTCTGTGCCAGGCACTGTGCTGGTGTTTGCCATCCAGCCTCTAACTTGTAAGCATCCCACATTCCTGGGACTATACTAGATGACTCTATGAAATTTGTTTTAGCTACTGTAACACACGGCCACCAACTCAGTGGCTTATAAATCACAGATTCATTGTGTCACCATTCCAGAGGTCAGAGTCAGAAATGGATCTCCCTAAGCTACACATCAAGGTATGGACAGACCTGCATTCTCTCTGAAGCTCTCCGAGGGTGGGGGGCTATTGCCTTGACTCTCCAGACTCTGGGGATTCCCGGTATTCCTTGGCTCATGACCCCTTCCAATCTCAAAGCCAAGGATGACCAATGAGGCTTTCTAATGTAAAGCCTGTCTCCTAATTTAAAAGACTCCATTTGTGGAGCTGGAGAGAAGGCTCCATAGCTGAGAGTGCTTGATGCTCTTCCAGGGGACCCAACTTTGGATCCCAGCATTCCTCCCATTTTGCTCTCAATCAGTTGTAACTCCAGCTGTAAGGGATGCAACACTCTCTTCTGGCATGTTTGGGCACCTACACACACACACACACACACACACACACACACACACACACACACACACACACACAAACACAAATAAGCCTGACTCACATGAACCAGGAAAGATATTTTTTCAAAATGAACCTGCATTTCTCCATATAATGAAATAACAGTCTCATACGAATATGAAGTGTTAGGGGCTGTTATTCTGTCTACCATAAACTACAGTCATGTTCAGAGGAGAAACCAAAGCCTAACTAACTCTCTAGGATTTCCCAGCTCAGGAGTGGGAGCTAAAGGAAGCCAGAATTTACACTTGGCCTATTTGTCTCCAAACCCTGGAACTCTTTCACGATGTAAACAGTAAGTGTTCATGGGTGCAGCTTGTAGTCCCTAAACTAGGATTTAAACACACACACATACACAGGCAGCCAGTCGGTGGTGTCCCATGCCTCTAATCCCAGCACTCAGAAGGCAGAGGTAGATCTCCAGGCCAGCCTGGTCTACAGAGCAAGTTCCAGGACAGGCAGGGCTTTTACACAAAGAAACTCCTGTCTGGAAAAAGAACAACAACAAAAATGCAAAAAATATGGAAAAACAATAGAACAAAGGTAGGAGAGGTATCGGGGAGTAACATGCGACTGTGGAAAGAATAGCTGACTGGGACACGTTCCTTGGTGGGACTTTAACCAGCTTCAGCATTAGCTATCTCTCTGGGTTCCCTTTCCTCACCCACAAAACCAGTGTCAGTGCGACAGTAACTCCGCCCTCTGAGGCGCTAAGTCAGCGGTGTGATGCAGAGGTTCTCTTGTGGGCCCCATCCCAGGGTCATCCGAGGCAACTGAGGACTTATTAGATGCACAAGTGCTTGCGCCACCTTAGACGTGTGGCGTTGGAAACTGGGCAAGAAGCGCAGCAACCTTGCCTTAGCAAGCCTTCCAGGTGGTTCTGGGTGTGGTGCAACTTGAGAGCTGCGGGTTGGCAGGGTTCAGGCTTTGTGGGTAAAAGCCAAAACACGATGTTCAGACTGCTTCTTGCTAGGGTCTCATGCCTCAGAACCACTAAGAAGTCTGCTATTCTCATTTGAATGTTGAGTATAGTCCCTTATACATTACCTATTATTATATATTGCACATTGGTCCCCAGAATGCAGTGCTAAAGACCTTCAGGAGGTGGGCCTATGGGCAGCCATTGAAGATGTGCCCTGAAAGGGTTTGCTGGACACTCTCTCCCCATTCCCACTCTTCCTCCCATCCCTCTCATCCTTCTCCACTCTTTCGCTGGCTTCCACTATGAACCCTCAGATTAACACCTTTCAACTGTGATCCAAGTTATACTGCCCTCTCCACTGACCTGACCCTATGCGGTCGCCTGATCTTGTACTTGAACCTCCAGAATCACGAACACTATAAACCTCTTCGCCTCAAAACTAGCCTGTGACAGCTGTTGTGTTATAGAGGTGATTTCGCTTTCTATGGCTGTGGCATAGCCCAAATCAGCTTGAGGATAAAAGGGCTTTATTTTTTCTTCTCACCTTATAGCTTATAGTCCTTCATGAAGGGAAGTCGGGGCAAGGACATGGAGGTAGGAACTGAAGCAGAGGCCATGGAGGAACAGTGCTTACAGGCTTGTCCCCATGCTTACAGGCTTGTCCTCATGGTTTGTTCAGCCTGTTTCTCTCTCTCTCTCTCTCTCTCTCTCTTTGCTTTTTTTGTTTGTTTGTTTGTTTGTTTGTTTGTTCGTTTTTCGAGACAGGGTTCCTCTGTGGCTTTGGAGGCTGGCCTGGAACTAACTCTTGTAGACCAGGCTGGCCTCGAACTCAGAGATCCGCCTGCCTCTGCCTCCCGAGTGCTGGGATTAAAGGCGTGCGCCACCAACGCCCGGCTTATCTTTATTTTATGTGCATTGCTGTTTTGCCTACATGTTTGTCTGTGTGAGAGGATTAGATCTTGGAGTTACTGACGTTGTTATCTGGCATGTGGGTGCTGGGAATTGAACCCTGGTCCTCTGGTAGAGCAGATGGTACTCTTAACCACTGAGCCATCGCTCCAGCCTCCCTCAGCCTGTTCTTATCCCACCCAAGACCACCTGCCTAGGGGTGGCCCATCTCACATGGGCCGGGCCCTCCCATATCAATCATGAATGAAGAAAATGCCCTACAAACTTGCCTACAGGTCAATATGATGGAGGTATTTTCTTATTTGGGGTTCCTCTTCCCAGATGACCTTGCTTGTGTCAAGTTGGCAAATAATAATAATAATAATAATAATAATAATAATAATAATAACCAGCACATCTGGATAATACATCTGGATTAATCCCCCTTGATCCATATGGTATATAGAGCCTAGAGATGTCTGGCTGTCCTTTCCCAGCCACAAAGACCTTAAGTCTTCCTATTGTCAAAAAAGCCCTTCACTAGAGAAGACACTGAATGTTGTAGGTGATAGACCCAGGTCTCCTCCCCTGGAGACAGCCTCACACCAGGCACAGTACACAATGCAGAGCCCTGATGGCCTCATGGGTGGGGTGACCTGGATCCACACAAGTTACATAGGTCTAGTGGACACAGAATTCCAAAGGGCAGGAGGTCCTTACTTGTTGTCTGTTGCAGTTCCTCGCTCACTGAATAGCTGGGTCCACAGTTAAACTGTAGCAGTTCCAGGGTGCCAGCAGCATTCCTATGCCCACATTATCAGTAGGATCACAACACTGCAGCCTCGGGATTGAAAAAACTGTGATCCATCTCCCAGCTCAAGAAAGGCAGAGAAAAACCCTTCCAACTGGTCTAACAGCATGCAATGTCAGCTGACCTTACCTATTAGTAACACTGGTTTCTCCCTGCTTCAGCCTGATCCTCGTATTTTGTCTGTTTTGAGGTAGTGGTTTGGAGAGGGGGTGTGCATGTTGGTGTGCATGTGTGTGCACCCGTGCATGTGAGCACCTGTGTGTGTGGAGAACAGAAGTTGGCGTCCTGGGTCTCTCTCTGGAGCTTGTGGATTAGGCTGGCCAGTGAGGCCCAGAGATCTACCTGTCTCTGCCTCCCCAGCATTGGACGACTCTTGGTTTCCCTTTCTTTTTTCTTTCATACGGTTGCTGAGGCTTGAACTCTGGTCCTCATGCTTGCATGGCAACCACTCAATGCTTGAGCAATCTCCATGGCCCATGAAGCAGCAATTTTGGCTAGGTAATGAAAGGAAAGAGGATCGCTAATTTCCCAGGAATCTGCACCCTCGAGAGAGCTGTCCAATGACTAGAACAGACTTTCCGCTGCTCCTGCCTATATTTCAATTACCTTCTTCCTAATAAAACATGTTCTGTGTAGATTTGGTACATTTGAATGAAACTTCCCCCAATATTACTAATACATTTGTTTTCCTTTTGAGGAGCTTTGTATCTTTGCTTTGCTTTTCTTTTTCAAACAGAACGGGTAACTCTCACTCTGAGGTCTGAACAGGGTCTGCTCAGCTGGTCTCGCAATAAATCACCATTCAGTAAAGCTGAAGCCCCACAATCTAACTGTTTTATGGAGAGGCCCTGGGCTATCTTTTCTTTCCTTTTTCCCACCTCTGGAAATATAACAGAGAAACACTTTAAAATTCTGTTGGTTTGTTTGGATTAAGTTAAAATAAGGAAGTACCATGAATAAGAGTTAACCGTATTGTCAACACCAGTCAGGCTCCTTATAGAGGCTTTAAATTACACTGCCTTTAAAATGAGGCCACAGTGGCCACCAAGAGATGTTGGAGTATCTTCACATTAGTGTAACATTTCTCAGAATGTGCTCTGACAGAAAGTGAGCAGAAAGGGGAATCTCTGTGGTTAATTACAACACTGGTGAACTAGACTGTCCTTAGAAGCTTTTCAGGAAGCATTTGTTCTTTGTTGAACATTTGTTAATGACCCATGAACTTGGAACCATAGAGCTCATCTCTGGACACCCATCTCTCCCACAGCTACGCGTACCTGCACTCCCAAGGAAGAATCCACATCAGCTAACTAGAATCTTCCTCCTAAAGTCAAGCTTTGACTCGGGGCTCACTACTGTGCTTATGTTCCAAGACCAGAGTGTTGAATTGCATTCTGTGCGTGTGAAAGAATCAAGATCCAGCTCATTTTATCTAGAAATCTCTGACCCAGCACTGTCCCAGTGGTCAGACGAGCTGTTAATCTAGAGATCTGATCTGATGGTCTCTACTGATGTTAGCTGGGTCATCTGTTAATCCACTGTCTCAGACTCTCAGTCTATCTATTCCCTCATCAATCATACATAGCTCATGCTAAAATAACATGCCTTGGTCTTTTATGTCCATCAGTAAATATCATTTATCTTTCAGGTTATTTTCCTTCATAGCCAAGACCTCGAAATATGCATGATCCTACACTCGTCCACAAAAATCTGGGTCTTATCAGGACAGTGGGGGCGCACACCTTTAATCCCAACAGTTGGGAGGCAGAGGCAGATGGATCTCTGTGAGTTCCAAGGCCAGCCTTGTCTACAGAGTAAGTTCCAGGACAGCCAGGAATACACACAAAGAAGCACTGTCTCAAAAAGAAAAAAAAAAAATCTAGGTCTTACAGCTTATGAAAGATATGTTTGTGTATAAGTTGTGCTGTGTATAGCTTATAGTATTGTATACTGTGTGTGTGTGTGTGTGTGTGTGTGTGTGTCTGTAGTATAAGACTGTCATTCTGTGTAATAACAATGTACAGCTGTACATTCTATGTTTTATGTCTAGATAGCAAGATTAAATGCATGCTCTTGGGATAGAGAGATGGCTCAGGGGTTAAGAGCACTGGCTGCTCTTGCAAAGGACCTAAGTTTCATTTCCAGCACCCATGTGAAGCTTAAAGCCATCTCTAATGCCACATCTGATGCCCTCTCCTGGCCCCCTTTGGTACTGCACACACATGGTGCACATACATGCAGGCAAGACATTCATGCACATAAAAATAAGAGACTATTCGGATACATCCTCTTTTCTTCTTCTACCTCTTCTTGGTGCTTTTGGAGGGCCCTGAAAAAAGAGACTGCTGGTGTGGCTTTCTATTCATCATCATCACCTTCCTTGTGGTTTCCTGGCACAGGCAAACAGCCAGGGTACCCTTGGGCTTTGTCAGGATCCTGCTATACAGATCTCCAGCCTCTCATGCAACCTACATATGCATGCGCAAATGCTTGTTGGCCAAGGGAGGAAGTGGTCTTTGTAAGAGAACCACAAGTATCTGAGCAACTTCTATCTGACAGAAGTTCTCTTCGCTGGGTCTCTACTTCCTACCACTCCACACGACACGACTTCCCTGTCTGCTTCTTCCCCTCCACCTCTCAAGAAGGCTGAGTGATAAAGATGTGGATTTTAAAAACCAGCTGCAGTGTCTTCATGGTTGGGTCCCCCAAACACAACCATCACTCGATACTGGCCTTGCACATATTCTTACCTTTGGAACCTCCACATAATCACAGAATTTCTAAGCCACTCTCCCCAGCCGTGCTGCTCAAACACCAGCCTCAGGGTACTTCTGCAGCTTGGAGGCCAGCAGCTAAAGGAGCCAGGTGTAAACACACTGTGGTCATAAAAAACAAAGCTATTTCTCCACCAGGTGGGGGAAGAGGCAGAAATGAGATGGCAAAGACACAGCATGGTGGAACTGGACAGGGCACAGGCAACAGGAGCACACCTTTGAGGTTAGCCTTGGCCACACAGTGAGACTGTGTGTTGGAAAAGAAAGAAGCAGATTTCCCAGGATGCTCCAATCCTTGCACATTGCCAGCATGGTGGGAGCTTAAGTTCTAAGAACGTGAGGGGCCTTTCCACTGTGGCCTCTCACTGGAAGATTGAGGAGTCTGTAAAAACTCAGTGTCACTGTGAGAAAGTAATTATCTGGGCAGAAGGGCACTGTTCATCCCCACTGCTAGAAACGGTGGTTTTCTTTGAGCAATTTTGTCTCCACCCCTGATCAGAGATACCCTTACATCTCTTGCACGTGACATTTCCAAGACGCCCTTTTGTGTTATCGTCACAGAAAACGATGTAGAAACATTGATGCCAACTTAGACAGTTTCTCTGCTCTTCTTCCAATGGGTCTGTAATGCCTTTTAACCAGTGTCTTTTAATGCCTTACATTGACACTGAGGATTAATGAAGCTGAGGTCTAAATGGTAACAAAGACACCTCCCTGTGGGCCCTTCAGCAAAGGGTTCCTTCAGCTGGCAGGAATGTCTGCTATGGGGGAGCAGGCAGGCAGGATGGAAAGCGAAACATCTAGGAGTGCTCTGTGGGGACTTCTAGAGTAACAGTGGGTGCTCCAGGCAAGGCATGCACCAATGTAGAAGCTCAGGGCTGGGAAATATCAATGGAGAACACCCCCCCCAGTACCACCTATACCTCACAGAAAGAGTGAATAAGTACCTACACAGGAAAAGGTGTATTCATTCCTGAGGGCTGTGTCATTCTCACACCCAGAATCAATTTAATTCACAAGAAGCCAACGGCAGCTGGATGGGAACCCCTTACAGAGCCTCCTGACCTTCCTGGAGAGTCCCTGGCTTTGATCCTACCATTGGGTGGCTGTGACTTTCCCTTGGAAGTACCTTTGGAAGAATCAAAGTCACCCCTAGGGTTGAAATTGACACTCCCTTGAAAAGCAGTCCTACATCAAAGCAGGGAGCCTGCCCTTCTGGCCACCAGCATGCCTAGCTGACCTTGTTTAAATATATTCTGCATAAAAGAAGATCATGTTTGAGTAATGTCTTCTCAGATTTGTGAGCTAAATAGAACCCCCACAAACCTCTTTCTAGGGCCATTCAGGTGTCTCCCAAAAGCTTTTCTGTTCCAAAGTCAAGGCAAGAGGGCAGGGGGATGAATTACTCAGAGCTTTCATCTTTCTGCCCTCATTTTGATTGCTCAAGGGGCCCCTGTGTTATGAAACTCACTGATGTCACCTCCAGACTGCCACTGGACAATGCCAGAGAGGTATGAGGTTTACGCGTTTGGAGCTGCTATGAATCACAGCTGGCTCGAGCTGAAGAGCCACAGGAAACTGGTCCCTGGGTGTTTCTGGATCATGGAGCGCACACCTCCCCTCCCCCTGCCCCACTTCCTTCCTCTAAGGCTTGTGTTCACCAAGATGAGGAAGGGCATCCAGAAGCCTTCCGAGTGAAGCTCTCCCTTCCCAGAAGCCCGCCTCCTGGACACTCTGAAGGTCGGCAGAGGCAGATGTGCCCTAGAGGACAGTCTTATTCCTTCAGGCCCATGTCCCCACTATTAGCAGCAGCAGAATTTGAACTCACTTGGCAGTGTAGACCCGCTCAAAGGCAAGAGTCCCAGTCCTCTGGAAGCTTCTCCCATTCTGCATCTTGCTTTCATGTTCCACCTTGTGGGCGAAGAATGCTGCCAGAGGGAAAGATTTGGTTCATAATCAAGCTCACTCTGTTCTTCTTTTTTATTTATTTATTTATTTATTTATTTATTGGTTTTTCGAGACAGGGTTTCTCTGTGTAGCTTTGGAACCTATCCTGGCACTCACTCTGCAGAGCAGGCTGGCCTCGAACTCACAGACATCTGCCTGCCTCTGTCTCTGGCTCAGTAGGCCCAGCTCAGGATAGGAGATGGACTGAGCTGGGGATCAGGACCCGGTAGAACTACAAATGAGGCTAAAGAAGTAGTTACCGAATGATCATTGTATAAATGATAATTTCCCAATTACATAGATAACTCTAATTTTTTTATGTATATGGGTTTTCCCCTTCGTGTATGTATTATATGCACCACATGTGTACAATATCCAAGGAGGCCAGAAGAGGGCATCAGTTCCTAAAACAGGAGTTATAAATGGTTGTGAGGCACTGTGTGGGTTCTGGGAATTGAACCAGGAATCTCTATAATAGCAGCCAGTGCTCTTAACAGCTGAGCCATCCCTCCAGCCCCAGTGAATGACTATTTTAATGATTTATCTGTTGTCTGTTACCATGAACCAGACAGTTAGCTTGAATAGACTACAAAATAGACTGAGATCCTTGGCCCAAGAAGCTCATGTTTTATAGACAAAAACAGAAGGTGAGACAAATAGCCAGTAAATAAAACCCCTAGAATACAATTGTTCAGCATATAAAGCTATGGACAAAGGAAGTGGTGGTAGCAGGGGTGCAGCCCAGTAGAAGACCACTTGACCAGCACCTGAAAGTCCCTGGGTTCTACTTCAGCTTGGGAAAACAAAAAGAGGGACTGGAGTTAAGTTTGGTCAGGAGAGTTTGCCTAGCCCCAGGCATCATAAAAAACTGAGCATAGTGACAGACACCTCTAATCACTCAGGAGGTCAAAGCAGGAATATTAGGGGTTCAGGGTCAATACATTTGAGGTCAGCCTGAGATACATGAGGAGAAAGAGACGGGGGTTGGGGGGTGTGAATGTCTACAAGTTTGCATAGCAGAGGATGTCCAGAGTGAAGCTCAAGAAGAAGGTAACACCTGAGCCTCAACACAGAGAAGCTAAGTACCTAGAAATGCGTATTGGGTTTAGAGAAACTGCTGGGTCCTGGTAAGGGCTACATGATGAGAACACAGAATGACTTAACAGGCTTACAAAGAGCAACTATGGAGCCAAAAGTTGTTATGTCTTTGATGCATCAGGTGCTTAGAAAAGGCAGACCCAAGACAGGAAGAAGTCAAGAGCTGACCAAGGCCATGGCTGTAGTCTTGTAAGAGATAGGAGCCCCAGGGTATGGCCATAGGTGGGAGGATGCAGAATAAAGTTTCTTTCTCCCTCCCCTGTTTTATTCCCATACTCCCATCTAGGGAGTGGAAAGTGACAGGATTTGACTGGCTTCTTTCTTTACTCATTTCCTATTTGTCTCCTCCAGCTACACCAAATACAGTGTTTCCTGTTTTGTGATGATATATATATATATATATATATATATATATATATATATATATATCCTACTCTCTTGGAGGAACATGCCCATCTTGAGCATATCCAAAGGCTGGCTTGTACTGAAGAGAGCTTACCACATTGCAGATGTCCCCTCACTGAATCTTCAGGAACTCTCTGAAGATGGGGCTGTTCCCCTCTGAGGACAAAGGAGGTCACTGCTCAGGAGGGCTTGGGCTCAGGGCCGCTGAATTCCACCAGCCGAGCCACTCCTCTTGCTACCATTTAAGTATAATAAATCTGTCTGTTCTGAACTTCTCTACTAACAGGAAACACAATGGAAAATTAGGCATCTCCTTTCCAGGACCCAGAGAAATGAGGCAGGTATGGTGGAACTCGAAGGCTAGTTCCTCACAGTCAACAGCAGGACTTAGCTATGCATCTCTGTCCACACCACCGCACCTTCATGCTCAGAAAAGCAAACCCTTCCTCTTTCATCTCGCTGCTGTCTAGCCCAAGCCTGCCTCCCTCCTCACATCTCCTTCTTCACAGCTGTCTCCATCCTTTACCTCTCAAGATTCCCTTTTCACTTCACCTAAAGACACGTGCACATCCTTCCTACCCATGCGTCCAGACTTAAGCAAGTCTTTCTCAGTCCAGGATCTGTGGACGTCAACCCTCCCTGCCTTACTCCTCACCATTCTCCCCAAGCCCTTGTAATCCTCCAGTAAATTCCAGAAGCCATGTAGGCAAAGACCATCAGTACCTCTTTTCCTGGTTTGTTGTTAATATTAAAGCAAAATCAACAGGCGAATGAGAGGTGAACACCACAGATGGCCGCAAACAGATCCTCAGAATGCATCACAAAGGGGATACTGACAACCCCTGAACCATCGTCATCTACAACACCCTCAACGGCCACCACAGGTGGCATCACCCACTGCACTTCTCAGGTGAGGAATTGGGTGGGGATGCAGAGGGCATAGGGGTGCCAGAGAGCACAAAATAAACAGGAGGTGGCAGTGAAACGGTTGCAGATCCTCAGAATAGCTTATATGAACCGGTTATCAGAAGCTGGTTTTTCTAAGGCAGTGGTTCTCAACCTTCCTAACACTGTGACCCTTAATGCAGCTCCCCCTGCTGTGGTGACCCCCAACCATAGAATTATGCCACTGCTACTTCGTAACTGCAGTTTTTCTACTCTTATGAATCATAATGTAAATATCCGATGTTCAGGATAGCTGATATGCAGTCCGGGTGGAGACCCACCTATTGAGAACCCCTCCTCTGTCGTCTTCATTTCAGAAAGAACACCCAGGAAGGGAGAAAGTGGCTCTGGGGTGGAGAGGGGAAGAGGGTGCTGAGTCCTCCCACTTTTTCCCATCACTCTGCAGGCTTCGGGAACAGCACTCCTGCCAAAAGGAATCCCTAATTTGCTGTTTCCATGTCCAGGACAGCCCTCCTTCTTCCCCTGGTCTCCTGTATTATTCTTCCCAAATAGATGCCCCTCTACTCTGATGGAGTTGCTTTCCCAATAAATTCACCCTAAGTTAGAAATATTTTTTTCTTTTTGGTTTTGAGACAGGGTTTCTGTCCTGTAACTAGCTCTGTAAACTAGGCTGACCTCGAACCTCCCAAGTGCTGGGATTAAAGGTGTGCGTCACCACCACTGGCCTAAGAAACATTTTAAGTCAAAAATACATTTAATACACCTAACCTGCTCAGTGCCAAAGTTTAGCCTAGATCACCTTAAATGTGCTCAGAGTACTTCCAGGAGTCTATGGTTGAGCTGAGCCATCTAACACAAAGCTTATTTTTCAATACTTTGACATAATTCATTGTGTATCCTACTATAAGTGAAAGGTGAAATGGTTCTATGTGTACACGTCTTATACCCTGATAAAACTGAAAAGTCAATAGCAGAACCACAGTAAGTGTCCTAGTTAGGATTTCTATTGCTAATAGAAATACCATACCAAAAAGCAGGCTGGGGAAGAAAGGGTTTATTTGGTTTACACTTCATATCATTGGTCATCACCAAAGGAAGTCAGGACAGGAACTCAAACAGAACAGGAACCTGGAGGCAGGAGCTTACGCAGAGGCCATGGAGGGGAGCTGCTTACTGGCTTGCTCCTCATAGCTGCTCAGCCTATTTTCCTATAGAACCCAGGACCACCTGTCCAGGAGTGGCCCCTCCCACAATGGGTTGAGCCCTCCACCATCAGTCACTAACTAAGAAAATGCCCTACAGGTTTTTCTACAACCTGATCTTATGGAGACACTTTCTCAGTTGAGGTTCCCTCCTCTCTGAAGACCCCAGTTTGTGTTGAGTTGACATAAAACTAGCCAAGACAGTAAATTAAAGACAATTAGCATGTTTTTTCCAGGTTTGCCTCATGGCAAAGCTGTTCGCCCCTTGGCAGGAGACAGCTGAGGCTTCTTGACAGCTGTGCTGGGAGAGCAACTGGGCTATGATAATTCAGGATTGGGTTTCTCTGCTTGGCCTGTCATCTCAAATCGGCATTCTGCTGGCTCAAACTGGAAGAGAGCCTTAAGTTCAAACATCTTGATGACTAAAGTGTTTGAAGGCAGAGGGGGAAGTCACACCAGCCAAGCTGGGCACTACCCATCCTCAGAAAATCAGAGAACGTGGGGCTAGCCACTGCACCTCTTTATCTGGGGCACAAATAGTGGTTCCATACTTGGTAACAACGTAGAAAAAAATTTTTGACTAACAGGAAGTTTTCCAAATAGTGTTTTGGCATGGACAATGAAAAGCAAAGGTTGTTTGCATATCTTTTAGGCTCTCTCACACAGGTTTATAGATAAAACCCAGAGTTCATTAGAATTGCAAAGAGAGGCTGAACTTAGGACTTACTGTTGACCTAAGCTCTCAGTTACAAGTTAGCACTGGTACTGTGTCTCAACTTATCTAAATAAGACTTGTCCCAAACAGACATCTCCAGCAGTTACAGGTGGTCCTTGTAGATGACTTCAATCTCACAGGAGAGCACAGCTTATTCAAAGCCACTGTGTGGTACCATTGTACATAGCAGCAGCATTGCCCGTCCCTGAGCACAGGTGGAATGGCTGTGTGCCAACATTGGCACCATGATGCCTCTTCTATTGGACTCCGAAGGGGGGTGGGTGAGGGAAGAGTGGTGGTATGAGGGCTGTGATGGCACAAGCTGCTCATTTGCTTGTCTAACATGAAGCCTTACAGCTTCCCCTGACTCATTTCTGAACCGAGAGGACAATGGTGAAAGTGAACTTGAACTTCCTGTTGAGCCCAGTTCCAACAGCATTGGCAGGAGGAGACATGGTCGCCTGTGCACCGATGCCCATAAGCCACAGTGTGGGGTACAGAGGAGAACAATAGAGGGGAGCTACTACCCAGGATTGAGTAGCACTATCCCTGCCCCACGTAGCTGTCTTCATGAGACTGGAGGGTTCCTGCTGTCAGTGCTCCCAGAAGGTGGCCTTGCTTACTGTCCTGTCATCAAGCCCCCTAGATACCACCTCATATCAAGCAAGGTCTGTGTAGGTGTGTGTCAGTTACCTACTTACTCCACCCAGTCAGTTTATAGAGCCAAGAGAGCCCAGCATGAGACAGCAGTGGTTTGAGGAAGTAGTGGCCTAAATAAGCCACTTGTTCCCTCTCCAACTACTCCACTCTGTTGCTGCATGCAGAAACACATGGCTAGGGTGTGCCAAGCTGGGTCCTGCTCTGTGCTAGCATCTCCACCCTCAAATAGTCCAGCATCCCAAAGTGGCTCAGCCCTCCAAATTCCAAAGTGTGACAGTGTGTAATCACGACCAATTGTCATGAAGCCTTGGCTGCTGCCAGTAGCAATGACCTCCAATTTTCTCTTAATAAACTGTAAATCACAAGGCCACTGGTCTCCTTACCAAAAAAGAAATCAACCTGGAAAAGACAAGGCCCAAAGCAGAACTTTAAGGCAGCTGTTCTACACAGCTCTGCCCTTCGCAGACCTGTGCCCTGTTAGTTCTTTAACTCTAAATGAGGGTAATGGCAATGCTAAGAAACAGGGATGTCTCCCTGGATAGACAGATGAGAGATGAGAGATAGAAATACAGATGATAGATGCATAGATAGTTACATTCTCACATACATACATGGATGGATGGAGAGATAGATAGATAGACAGATAGATAGATAGACAGACAGACAGACAGATAGTAGATCATAGATAGATAGAAATAGATAGATGATAGATAATAGAGATACAGAGATAGATTGTGTGTGTGTGTGTGTGTGTGTGTGTGTGTGTGTGTGTGTGTGTAAAGTTGTACACCAAAGGACTGGGATGTAGACGAATAGCAGAGAACTTTCCTACTTACTTAGAATATACAAGGTCCTGAGTTCTATCCCTAGTCACACACACAAACACACATGCACACACACACACACACACACACATTGCTTTTGGCTGTTTCTCCAAAAGAACTTTTTAAAATACAGAAGTAAAATAATGATAAGGTGCTTTCCTGTTTATAGCTCCCAAATCAACCCACAAGCCCCAAAACACACACAGATGACAGATGATCTCCATGGCCCTGCAGATTAGTTAATTCAGCCCAGCATCCGAGCAAGTGAACACATACCCCATGCTTTCTCTCTGGGCCGCTTGCCTTCCACCCTTCCGTAGTCATACACCAACTGCAGACACTTGGGTCAAGTTTGTCAGCAGCCCTTCAGGTTGCTGCCTTTCCTCTGTAAACATGGCCTGACATCACCACTTAAGTGAAAGAAGGTCCAGAAGGAGGAAAACCCAAACTCACTTACAGGGGCCCCCACCCCTATGCACGAAACTCCAGAGAAGTATGTAGAGATACGTACTATATATGCACACAGAACTGTGTGTGCCTAAGTTACAGCACCCTGTTCTCCCCGAGGGAGGGCTTCCCTTACCGTTCTGGACCACGCTGATGAGGGTGACAATGACCAAGAGCACAACATTGCCCACAGTCTCTTGATCCATCCTTGCTTCAGGCACTCCAGAGACAACTAGTCTGGCCCCAGCACCTCAGCCTCACTGTGCAGAAAGGGGAAGTACCAGCCTGGTTCTGGCTTTCACCATCAGCGTTTCCAAAGGTCCCTGAACAGTCACTCACTGCCACCGCTCCTCCCCTCCTCCTCTGTCTCCACCTTCTCTTGTTCCTTCTCCCCTTCTTGTTCCTCTCCTTCCTCCTCGTACGTCTCCCCCTCCTCTGTCTCTCCCTCTTCTGTCTCCCCCTCCTCTTGTTCCTCCGCCTTCTCCTATGTACTCTATTCTCTTGTTCCTTCTTTCTTCCTCTTGTTCCCCCTCCTCTTGCTCCTTCCCTCCTCCTCTCACTCCTCCTCATTTCCTCCCCCTTCTCTTGCTCCTCTTGCTCTTCCTCCTCCCTTTACTCCTCCACCTCCTCTTGCTCCTCCTCATTTCCTCCCCTCCTCTTTTTCCTCTTGCTCTCCCTCTTCGCTTGCTCCTCCCATTCCTCCCCTTGCTCCTTCTCCTCCCTCTTCTTTTCATTCTTTCTTTTCTAATTATTATTCAACAAAGTGGCTGGACTGTGCTTCTGTGTTACCTTCCAGGAATAACAGAGCCCAGGGGGAAAGCAAGTGTGTGGCACAGTCTCCAATATTGCTTGTCATAGGCAGCCTCCCCGGGATCCTTCAGCATGAATTGTGGGCACTGACCAGCATGAGGATCCTGGAGCACCACTATTTCTTAGGAAGGAAGAAGGAAGGAAGGAAGGAAAAGAAAAAGGGGAAATGAGATTTTAAAAAGTAAAATGATCCAGGAGGTGGTGGCATACGCCTTTAGTCCCAGCACTCGGGAGGCAGACGATCTGTGAGTTTGAGACCAGCCTGGTCTACAAGAGCTAGTTCCAGGACAGTCTCCAAAGCCACAGAGAAACCCTGTCTCAAAAAAAAACAACAAAAAAAAAAAAAAGGAAGAAATACAGCACCAAAAAGTTCTGTGTCCTGAGTATGCCCTTTGTTCTTTGAATTCCTAGGGGGCAATACCATTTGACACATTGTAGGATGTCGCAGAGCAGCCACATAGGCTGGGGTGAATGGATGGATGGGTGAATGAATGAAAGAGTAAATGAATGGTAAGACAGCTGGTATCTCATTTCCGGCTAGCTTCGTTGATAAAGCAACTGCCACGCAATCATGAGAACCTGAGTTCAATCCCCCAGAACCACACAAGTCAAGTGTATTAGAACACTTTTAACCCCAACACTGGAGGAAGAGGTACAGGAGAATCCATGGGGCTGGGCTCACTGGCTAGCCATCTTAGCTTAATAGTGAGCTCCAGGGAGAGCAAGGCCATGTCTCAAAAAGCAAAGTGGATGGTACTTGAGGAACTATAGGCAAGATTTATGTCTGTGCTCTACATACGCACGTGTACACACACACACACACACAGAAAAAAAAGAAAAATGAACAATAGGAATTTGTAAATTCAACCAGAGATTAAACCTAAACCAAAGAATACATCAAGAGTTATCAGCCAGCCCCCAAGGAGAATGCTGGGGAGAGGACTGTCAGACACCTAAGCTGACTTCTCTGAATTTATTTACAGCCTAATGAGAAGAGTGCAGTTCCCACTGTGACAGAAGGTGCATGGGGGAAGATTGTGTCCTCCATGACAGGGAAGCTGTACCCATGAAATCTCATCAATATGGTCACCTAACAAGAACCGAACAATGACACTAGTTGACATGTCAGCACACCTGGGGAAATCATATAAGCCCCCACCCATAGATGAACACAGGCAATGAATGACTTATGGATCCCCCTAATTGCTCATCCAATACCAAGTGGTCAGCCCTAATACATACACATAAAGCAATATTAATGAACTCAGCAAATTATGTTTGTGTATTTATGTATATGTATGCATATGCGTGTGGGTAAATAACAGTAATTATTACAGAAAGAGGCTATGGATTTGAGAAGTGGCTATATAGGAGGAATTATAGGGAGTAAGAAGGAATGATACAAATACAGTTCTCAACTGTAAGTTATAGCTGCCTGGGTAGGCCTGCTGGTGGGTGACACATACCGTCTCGCCACTCAACAGGATTGTGTAAACAGCAATCCTTCAGAAGTCATACAGAAAATGCACGCTGCCTGCAGCTTTTGTCCCAGATCCAAATGGTTACGAGGCTCCTTTGTGAAAAACCTCACACTGAACGAGGACACTGGTCACAGAGAGCCACATCTGGGAGTGGGAGAGGCCATCGTGGAGATAAGACCATCGCCCTACCCTCCGGCAGCAGAGGTCAACTTGTGTGTCCTCAGCTAACTTTGAGATGTGTTCACAGAGGTGGTGTGCAGAGCTAGGGCACACGGGATCCAGTGGCATATAGTTACGTTAGAGAAGATTAAACTTAAAGAGGATCAGTTTGCACAGAGCCCAAGGAACCCCAGGAAAGATGATTGGGTGTGCTGCAGTCACAGCCCAAAGTCCCGACAACTGGGGACACCAACTATACAAGGCCAAGACTGTGTCCCAAAGCCAAAGAAACAGTCATTCCAACCCCAGGGTGGAAGATAGATGTCCCAGCTCAGGGGAAGAGGGACTCATTCTTTCACTGTTTGTTCCTCTTGGGCCTCAATAGATTGGATGATGCTCACTTAAATTAGTGAAGGAAGACCTTCTTCACCCAATCCAGTCAGGAGGCTCTTTTAGAAACATCCTCACAGACTCACCCAGAAACACTGTTTTTATCCTTTAACTGGGCATTCCACAACACCGGGAGCTGATACATAAATTAGTAATCACAGAGTTGCAACACACTTAGTTATGAGCTCAAGACTAGCAAGATTTGTGTGTGCACCAGGGTGGGCTCTCAAAGGGCAATTCTGAGCACCCATAAAGATCAGATGTCAGCCAAGGGCTGGAGAGACAGCTCAGTGATTAAGAGCACTGGATGCTGTTCCTGAAGATCCAGGTTCAGTTCCTGGTACCCATGTGTCTCACAACCATCTGTAACTCCAGTTCCGGGTAATTGGATACCCTCCTCTGGCCTCCACAGGCACTGCTCACAAGTGGTGCACAGGCATACATACATACATACACAGAGGCACAAGTGCTTGGGAGGCTGAGGCAGGAAGACTTAGAATCTGAGAACAGCCTGGGCCACAAAGTGAGGTTCTATCTCCAAAAATGGAAAGAAAACTTAACCATCTTAGTGACGACTTATCAGGTATGAAAATTAGTCCCCTTTAAAGGATCTCCAGACACACAGATGAGAAACAGCTCCAACTAACTTGTGGGAAAGGGAGAATTTGGGCTCCAAGTCTCTGATGAACTGAACAACTGAGAGCTAGAAAGAACAGAAATGGGGTGGGACTTGGAGTTAAGGGGTCTTTCTTTCTCTCTCCCCCCCCCGTGTGTGTGTATCTCTCTCTCTCTCTCTCCCTCTCTCTCTCTCTCTCTCTCTCTCTCTCTCTCTCTCTCTCTCTCTCTCACACACACACACACACACACACACACACTAATATTCATTCAAATGAAGCACTGCCCCCTCCACCAATCACTATCTCATCAGTTTCCCTTGAATGTTGGACTTTTCTCTCTGTAGAACAATTTTCTACACAGGAGAAGATATTCCCACCTACCACTTGGGTTTGTCTGTCTGTCTGTTTGTTTGTTTGTTTGTTGTTAGGGGAGACAGGGTCTCACTATGCAGCTCTGGCTATCCTGGAACTCACCATGTACACCAGGGCCTCAAAGTCAGAGATCCGTCTGCCTCCGCTGTTATGATAAGCTCGTGGGGGACCTCTCGAGGATTCCGTGGCAGAGCAGGTTGACCGATGCAGGGGATAAACACGCCAGGCAGACAGAGCTTAGTGAGAAGTTTTATTAGAAAGGGAAGGGAAGCAGGGAGGAAAGAGAACACCGGTAAAGAGACACAGAGACAGAGATAGGACAGAAGAGAAGAGGGAGACAGGAAAAGTACTGTCTGCCCCAGGGGAATAGCAGGAAAGAGAGGAGGGGTGGGGGAGCATTAGTGGGCAGGGGTCTTTCTTTCAAAGGGTCCTTTGCACCTGGGCTGACCAGGGTACTGCCTGAGTGCATTCTGCCAGGTGACAGGGACAGGCCAGCATAATGCCTGAATCCTTACATCCGCCTCTCTAGTGCAGGGATGGAAGGTGTGCATCAGCACACCGGCCCAACTTGGAACTTTTCACATCATATAGGATCTGCTCATTTAAGCTCTGAGGACAATCTCAAGCTGTCAGGGTTTCTATTCCCAGGAGATTAAACAAATGCCAAGGAAAAGGAAATCACCTAGTAGGGGGAATGTTCCCTAGAAAATAAGGCAATTAGACTTATTTGCTAATAGACCCAGGTTAGGACTATGACTTACCACCATTTATAATCCAAAATTAAAGTTTTCAGATTTTGGAGATTGGGGAAAGGGAAGTCTGTTGGGGGCACAAATGCCCTTAGGACCACAGATCACTAGGGTATGAGAAACGTTAAACACGCAGGGGCCTCTTCTCAATGGAGGGTAGAATATCTGTTTTCCTGCCCGGAAGGCTGGGAGCGGATTTTGTGAAGGACCTGGAGCCCTTTCTACTGCAGACCTCTCCCACCTTTTGCTATAGAGGTGGGCCTCACCCAAATTCCCCAGAATCCCTATCCCAGACTCTCCCTTCCTCCTGATAGACTGTTATCGTTAGCTCCCAATCAACAGAACCCATCCTTAAGGTGGATGTCACATGTACTTTATGGCCTGCTGACCTCTGTGTTGTCTTGGTCAGAGACCACACTAGATTCTAGGCCTTTCAGCTACAGAACCCACCCTCATGGTCACATGACTTTGTAAAGGCATCTCTATGTAGTCACACCTTAAGCTTCATTGTGCACCTGGAATTGGGCTGATGGTTGCCTGGAAACCTTTCCCCATATTGTACTGTGTTAGACTCCCTGAAGTCTGGTCCAGGTTGACGAAGTCAGTCTGCACAGGCTATCACTCTTATCTCTCCATGGGTTCACTTCCCTGCCTGGATACCTGC